CGCCTGCGCCGGCGCTGGCGGCCGCCAGCAGCGTCGACGGAGGGGACGCAGCGACGACGACCAGAAGGGGCCCAGGGGGAGGGGGGGAGGAGTTCCAAACCCCCTCCCCCCCCTTCAGAAGGGCCCGGCGCCAGCGCTTGCGGCGGCCAGCAGCGCCGACGGCGGGGACGGCAGCGACGATTACCAGAGAGGGCCCAGAGGCCGCAGAGGGAACACACACATCGCCATATCGAGCCCTCGCCCCACAGAAGCCACCGAGAGGTCCTTAGGAAGGTCCACGAGGCTTCACACATGCTCCTCATACGCCCCCAAGACCCTTCTGAAGATACCTCAACAAGCATCCATTCGAACTCTGGCCCAAAGCCAAAACATGGTGGCGGGAAGAGCCGAAGGCCACACCACCACCACCACCACAAACCACAACACCACCACCACCACCACCACCACCACCACCACAACCACCACAATCAACCACCATCACAACCACCACCATCACCACAAACCGCTACACAACCACCACCAAAAACGCCAGCACCACCAGCACCACCACAACTCACCGCAACCCACCACAACCACCACCATAACCAAAACCACCACACCATTACCACCACCGCCACCACCACAACCATCACCACAACCCACCACTTCCACCACAAACCACCACACCACCACCACAACAAGCACCACCACCACCGCCCACCACCAATACCACCACCAACGCTACCTCAACCCACCGCCACCACCACCAAACCACCACGCAACCAGCACCACCACATTCACCACCACCACGACAATCTGCCACCACAACCACCACAACAACCCACCACCACCACAATCTACCACACCACCACCACCACGCCACCACAGCCACAACCACCACCACGTTTACCACACGACCACCACCACAAACCACCACACCACCACCAACCCCGCCGCCACCGCCACCACCACCAACACCACTTCCACAAATCACCGCCACCACAACCACCGCCACCACAACCACCGCCACAAACCACACCACAACCACCACCACCACCGCCACCACCACCACCATCACAACAACCCACCACCACCACAAACCACCACCACACCACCACCAAAACACCACCACCACCAACCACCACCACAACCAATACAGCCACAAACAACCACCACACCACCAGCACCACAACCACAACCACCGCCACCACCACAACAACCGACCACCACCACCACCACAACCACCACACCACCACCACCACGACCACCACCACCACCACCACTACCACCCACCACAACCACCACCACCACAACAAACCACCACCACAACCACCACAACCACCACCACCGCCACCACCACCACAACCCACCACCTTAACCCACCACCACCACCACAACTACCATCACCAACACCACCACCAGTAACCACCGCACCACCACCACCGCCACCACCACCACCACAACGTGCCACCACAACCACCACAACAACCGACCACCGCCATCTTCACCAACCACCGCACCGCCACCACCACCACCGCGACCACCACCACCACCGCCACAACCACCACCACCTCCGCCACCACAGCCCGCCGCCACCACCTCAGAGAGGCCCCAAGAGACGCCCAAGAGGCGCCCAGAAGGCTTCACAGATGCCCTTCAGAGGCCCTCGAAAACCCTCCGACGAGACCCCGAGAGGCATCCATTAGGACTCTGACCCAAACCTAGGCACGGTGGCGGAGCGTCGTCGTCGTCGTCGTCGCTGGCCCAGAAAAAAAGTCGCCGCCCCCACCGCCGCCGCCAGCCGCCGCCGACGCAGGCACCGCCGGCCCGAGGAAAGGGACCGAGAGGAACAATAGGGGAGGAGGGGAGGGGGGGGGCGCTCGGTTCCAACCCCCCCGTTCCCTGCAAACGACCACAAAACGCGCTGTTTCGAAGGTGGCGACATGGGTCCATCAGGTGTCCGTTCGTCTCTTGTACCAAGGGACAAGTGCTAGCTTCTGCTAAGTTTCCAATTAAATTGGAAACCTGCGTTGGCGAATGCGCAGATGTCGTTTGGCATTTTCGGTTGCTTCGGCGCGGGGGTCTCCCCAGTAGCGTCTCTGACGAGCTCCTTCGAAGTCACTGTGGCGTGTCCTCCTTCTTTGATTGACGAGCTCGGAACGTACACCGTCGGATTCCATGATGGCTGAGAGGTCGCGATCGATGTGATCGCCTAGAGCAATTTGTCGAATCGACGCCGAGGTTTGTCCTGGAACTTGCACGAACGGTTCATCCGTGAACGATCTTGTAAGGACGTTTGGGGATTGCTGGAGCACGAAGTATGATGCGATATTACCTATGGCGACTGCAGATTGTACAATCACGCCAGAAACTTGATTTATGTCCAGCTGTGCATCGGATACCATCACTGCTATATCGGCTGGTAACCAGTTTTTTGCAAGATGAACGGGGCCCCTATGAGATGTAGGGTATGCGGATGATGCGATATCGGTCTCACTGCTGCTCTCGACCTGTCGTATCGACATGGCGGTAATGTCTGTTAAGCTAGTGTGTAAAAGGATCTGTGCGCGGGAAGGGCAAATGCCGACGCGGCGACGATCCGACGCGCTGCCTTCTTTTACCCGCGAGCAGCCGCCCCGCGGTGCTTGCCTGATCCTTGCGCCAAAATGCTGATTGATTGCTCGATTGTGTCGCTGTTGCTGATGGCGGTAGTTTTTCCACCCACCCCCGTACCGCGATCGCTGCTGAATCCGACCAATGTGGGGCCCAGGGCACCTCCCCCACGTTCTGCGACATAACATAGCTGACCGCACGAAGGACTGAACCAGGCCGAAAACGAACACCAGGACAACCCGACCAGCCGTTTAGCGGCATGGCAACTCAATGGAAGCACTACCGGAGCCAGTCACCGAGGCCACTTGCACGACAGTCAGAACTACACATTCAACCACATAGACGCCATCATCATGAAAGTGCATGCGACAGGGCTCATTAAGCAGAGCGGCACTGTGACGAAAAGGCTCACGGTGCTCATCATATTCAGAAAAGTGCCCTCGCCCGAACTGATTGCACACACCAACGCCAAGAGAAGGCACAAGAACGAGCGCAGGGTGCTCACCGTCATCAGGGAGATGCTCACGACCGTACCGATTACGCATGCCAGCATCAGGAAAATAAACACGAACAAGTTAAACACGAACAAGTTCACGAAACTCACCACCATGAGGAAGTGGCCTACCATGCCATCGCCACCAGGAGGGCGCTGCACATGCGCTGCACGACAATACGCTCCAATATTATCGGCCATGACATGCAAGTGCCTCTCGAAAGTTCTCTGGATGGAAGTGACAATATTGAACTCACGACGAAGCCTACGAGAACCAACAGGAGGAGGTTCACGACAACACGAAAGGAGTTCATGATGGTCACCATCATCAGGCGGATGCTCAAGACCAGGTCGAACATGAAATGACAATGGGCCCCCACTGCGAATCCCAGGAGAATCTTCAGGAGGAGACCCACGATAACACTCATGATGCTCACAGTTGTCAGGAAAATGTTCAAGACGAAACCCTCGAAGGCTGTCTGAAAGAAACCCTTCATCATCACGAATGCACCCATCAACAACACATAGGGAAAACAACAACACCGGAAACACATTCGCCAGGTTGAGAGATGGGCGGAAGGAGCGGGGCATTGGGCAATTCTCTTCGATGTGGCCGTTCGTGTGCTGTCAGGGGCGCTTGGCATTGTGCCCCCACGCACCAAGGATCAGACCCCCAAGGGCCAAGCCACGGGTTGGGATACCCACTACCTTGAAGATCACGCTTATCGCATCGATGTGACCCCCACCGTTTTCGCCATCATGTCCTGCCACAGGAGGCTGGACAGTCTTGGGCGAAAGGATCAAATAAATATCCTCTGACGATTTCCGGTGCCCATGAACGGCCACCGCATTCTGGAGGATGTTCGCTTGAATACGCTGCAGAACTCGGTCGCGAAACTATCGTGCACCTGCGAGCCGTTGGCCTCGAGCAACATCACATGCAAAATCAACGTCCTGCTAGGAATGTTCATCTTCCGTCATCTTCCTCGCCCATCCTGCAGCTGTTGCACGATCTAACGAGTGAGGCGAGGCAGAAGCCATCGCCGAGCAGAGGGGCGACGCCGCAGGGAGCGAGGGAGCGAAGGGGGGCACGCTCGCGGCCCGATGACCTCGGTTTCGGCAGGCTCCTGAACCAGACTGGCGATAATGCTAAGGATGTAGATAACAAAGATGAAACATGATGATAATGATGCAGATGATGATGATGACGATGATGGAATGACAACCATGATAATGATGCCGATGATGATAGTGATGATGATGACGATGACGACGATGATGATGATGCCGATGGTGATGAGGATTGTGATGATGGTGATGGTGATGAGGATTATGGTAAGGACGAGGATGATAGTGACAATGCAAATGATGGTGAGGATGCTGATGGTGATAATGATGCTGTTGTTGATGATGATGGTGATGATGATGGTGATTTTTATTTTCTTGTGGTTACTATGGTTATTTGTAGTATCATTACCATTCTCAGCATCATTATTACCATTGCTACTACTATAACTATTGTGAATAATAGGGTTATGATTATGATGATGGTGATGATGATGATGAGGAGGGGGGGGTGGAGGAGGACGACGAGCCTGCGAGGCAGACGCGGGGGGCGAGGTCGATGGGGGAGGATGAGAAAAAGGACGAGGAGCCAGACGATAAACGCGGAGGACATTTGAAAGTGTCTTCGGATGGATTTGGAGGATTTCGGATGTTCCTATATGATTTCGAATGCTATCGGAGGGGGAATTCACTGAAGCTCAATTAGTTCTGGGAGCCGGTGTCGTCGCAAACAGTTGCAATGCCAGTTGCACTCGGGGAAGGGAGGGAGGCGGAATGATATTACTAGGAAAAAACGGATGGAGGAAAGAGGCGGATGAGAAGATGAGGAGGGTGATACATTTTTCCTGGTATGTGCGACGCGCCTGCACAGCCTCAGGCAGTCGTCGGCCCGATCCCTAGCCTCGCTCGCCTTGGAGGACCCCCCCAGGAATCCCACCGACTGGCAGGCCCGAGGGCAATGAAATATATGATGACGGCGATGGTAGAGGACGTAACCAAGACATCAGCGTCGAAATCCAAACCCTACCGTCGCCGATCAACGATTCAGGCAACTCGATGGGCGGCAGGGGTAGGGTTCGGAAGTCGTCGTACAAGTAGCAAAATCCGAACCCCACCCCCGCCTCCCATCCATTCAAGAAAATCGATGGCTGGTGGGGGTATGGCTCGGACATCGCCACCTAAAAAAGGTCCAAGCAGAACCTCCTGGAGTCGTGTCCTCTCCTGGCGAACCAGCATGTCAAGGTGTGATCAACAAGCAGATGGCAGCGTTCGGAAAGCAACGTTCGAAAGCAGCACCGGGGGGGGGCAACACAAGGGGGGAAACATCGGCCTGGAATCGGCGATATATCGCCGATAGATCGGCGATAGGCCCCCGATGGCGAACCTGCACGATCCTCGGCGGGGTGGGCTATCGGACCCTTCTTGGCGACGAGTGGGCGATTCGAAGTCAATGCCCCCCCCGAGCATATCCCCTCCTAGCGTTGCCCCTGACGTCAGCACCAGCGACAGCCGCGTTCGAACAGCAAGCAGCATGTGGTGTGCCCCGAGCTTGCCATCGCTCGGACGTCCATTTCCTGTGTATTTTTCGGTTTCGTGAGTGGTTTTTTCTCGAGGGCTCTCGCCGAGGAAAAATGCACACGTCCGAGCGATGCCAAGCTAGGTGCGCGCAGATTTCTTGGTGTCGGCGCCGCCCCGTCCTTGGCGTGGCGCGTGGAACGCTCCAGCGGCGGCGCCGGAGACGCCGCCCGCGGTGCCCCAGCGCCGACCTTCAAGATCCGCGCGGACCTCGAGGCGAGGGGGAGGAGGAGGAGGAGGAGGAGGAGGAGGAGGAGGAGGAGGAGGAGGAGGAGGAGGAGAGGAGGAGCGTCCTCTCCAGAGGGGGTATGGAGAGGAACCATACTCTGTGCTGTACCGTCCTGAGGCTCACAGAGGAGGAGGAGGAGAGGAGGAGGAGGAGGAGGAGGGGAGGAGGAGGACGAGGAGGACGCTCCTCCTCCTCCTCCTCCTCCTCCTCCTCCTCCTTCTGCTCGGAGTTCTCTTCCTGAGGATCATCGAGTAGGGCGCAGCTGAGCATTTGTAATTCGGGCGCGCTCCCAAAAGTGCGCGTGCGGACGGCCTCGGACCCGCCCCGGGGCGGGCGGAGATCCGCGCGGACCTCCGAGCATGTATGCTCATGCCGTGTTTCTTTGCCGATCTTAGGCCCCTTCTTCAGCGGGGCCGATCCTCCTCCGTTCTTCCTTTCTTTCTCCGCAGCTCAAGAAGCCTCCAGTTTCAGCTGTTTCTGCTCTAAACTAGATGGGCCGCTGCTTCCAAGGAGGCCTCATCTAATGCAGTCGCTTCTGCTCCGAATGCTGTCATAGGTAACTGCTGACACGTGCCGTGTACGACCAGCGGCTCGCTTGTTTCGTCTCCTCGTCGTCTGCCCCATAGCCCGATGACGGTATTTCGAGATGGTGATGGTGAAGGTCTGCGCAGCCAGGCTCCAAGGAGCCTCGCCCGAGCGAGGGTGCAGCGCCCGAGAGTTTCTCTGTGCCAGCGACACGCACGGTCACCCAGGTGATGCATTGAGGCCGGTGGTTGTCGAGGGTGGTCCTGGCCCAAGGTGTGCCCCAGGTTGCCTGACTTGGCGCATCGCGCTCCGTGATGCGCGACGCGCGGTTATCTTCGCGTCCTCGCGCCCTCGCTTCGCTCCCACTGGAGAAAGGCAGCCGCTCTGGCCCAGGGCTGCGACCCGCGAAGCGCCACTATCTTCGCGCCCCCGGGGGTGACCTAAGCCCCGGCTTTGTTGGTGTCCCTGGGGCCCTCTCGGCCTCGTGAGGGGTACACTGGATGCCGTAAGGGCCTCATTGAGATCCTCGGGACACCTTGGGCCAGGTACACCTCTGAGAACATCTGATTTTCCACAAGATCGCTGGGGCACAAGGCTTGGAGGCGCCGAATGTCACAAGCATGCGGCCACTCGAGCACGCCGGTCAAGAGAGGAGAAAGGAGGCAAGATTGACGGAGGAACGCACGGACGACTGAAGCTGCGAGACTCAGTCTCTCAGCGTTCGCCAGAACATGGTCTCAATCGAAGACCATGCCCTGGTCAAAAGGAGGCGGAAGAAAAGGCGTTGTCAGTCCGCCGGCCCTGTCGCGAAGGGATGCGAAGTGACGATGGACTGCTCATCTGCGGGCGAACTTCACCCGCGGGAGAAACAACCGTCTCTCTCTCTCTTTCTCACACTCTCTCTTGTATCTCTCTCTCTTATAGTGCTATCTCTATCTACCTCTTTCTCATTCTCCTCTCCGTACAATTACTCAACATGAATACTCTATTCTCCTCGTTCCCCTGAAGATGGTCAAATAATTGCCCGCCTGTCCCTCCGCGCACTGATTTCCACATCAAAACCCAGACTGTGGTCTTTCCATTGCTTCTGTTCCAGTCGGAACTGTCCGTGTCTCAAAATGGTGCTCTGTTGCAGCGCCGGCCACACTTTAGGATCGGCATTTTGCCCCCGTCGTTCGGAATGGACCTCTCGCGCCACTATTTTCTGGATCCCACCGGTCTCGCAGGTCGCAGGCCTCACAGGTCTTACATCAACCACAAGTGTCGCAGGTCGTCCCACCGGTCCCACAGCTCTCACAGGTCTGACATGATCCACAGGTCCCAGAGGTCCCACGGGTGTCGCAAGTCTCGCAGGTCCCACAGTCCCCGCAGGTCCCACAGTCCCCGCAGTCCCCACAGGTCCCACAGGCGTCACAGGTCCCTCAGGTGTCGCAGGGCTCACAAGTCCCACCGAGGTCTCATGGAGGTGGCCCAGATCACATAGGTCTTGCAGGCCACGGGGTACCCGCACGTACCACAGGTGCCACAGGCGTCGTAAGTCTCACGGGTCACACAGGCTACGGAGGCCCCCCAGGTCGCACAGGTCCTACAAGTCCCGCAGGTCGCAGGTCCCACAGGTCCACTCTTCCCCCCTGTCCCACATGTCCCACAGAAGTTCCACAGCTTCCACAGATCGCACAAATTCCACACTTTCACAAGTCCAACAAGGCACCATTGCTGCTACTAGGGTGCTTTGCTGGGGTAATGGACTTCCACGTCAGCTATGACACGCGTCCGCGGATATAGAAACATCAGCGCATTGGGAAGGTATGGGAGGGAGGGGTCGGATGTCTGATGGGCGCGTCCAGGTAACAATAACAACAAACAGCGTGATGGGAAGGGATGGGTGGGAGGGGTAGGATGTCATACATGGCGCGAACGCACCTAACTTGCATCTCTCTTCCCTCTTTTGTGCAATTACATCGTGTGAGTCTTCTTTCTCCTCTCTCTCTCCCTCTCTCCCTCTCCCAGAAACGTGATGAGCGTGGCGCGCCCTCTCCGCTTAATTATTGTGTCTTGCGCGCAGGACTGGTTCGACTTGTTTCGACGGTGGACAAACCTCCCATTAGTAAACCTCCCTCAATGAAAAACGGCCTAAGACAGAAACCGACGGACCTGGACCCGCAAACATGACGGCCGCGACGCCCTCTCGCGAACCGAAAACGGCCAACTCGCTCATCGACGTGTCAGGGTTGGAGGTCTATCAACCTCCGATTGCTTTTCCAGGTGCCACACACACCGTCGTCTCCCGCAAGGGTTACCCTAAATCATCTTTTTCGTTTTCGTTTTGTTTTCGTTTTCCCTCGTTCTGGCTTCAATCCGCCTTTGCTGCAAAACGAATTCAAAACGAAAACGGCCCAAGAATTGCCAAACCACCGTTTAAGTCGACCCCTGGTATTCCGATCGCCCTCCCCGCAATAAAAAATGAAACCTGCGGGGAGGGATTGGTCAACCCTGTTTCCGCGCAGGCACCCGTACACCTTTTTTTTCCCTTCGAACGCGCGCCAAAACGATATCTCCAAACTTTACCACACCTGCGACTGACATCCCAGTCACCGCCCCTCTCTGCCCACCTGTGTCAGAGGTGGCACGTTGGGCATTTCTGGGGGCCATGTCCAGAGCTGAACTTCGAGCGACGATGTTGCGACAGCTGCAAGGGTATAGGCTGGCAACGAAGATCCGAGCCCTCTCTGGTAGACAGAATCAAATATACCATTGCGTCCAAATCGCTTCGCGCCCACCCTCGAAAGACTTTCTTTCACGGGGCACGGGCTCGACCGCGAAAAACTCTGCTGCTGAACCATTCCACGACGAACGCGCCTATCAAACGGTCGGAAGAAGCAATTAGAAACACGAAAGAAGAGAGCGTTGAACACGGAAAACCACTCGTCATTCGCAGGAAAGACAGCGCCGATAAATGATTGGAATGTGGCCTGGGATGCGAAAACAAAGAATCAGCTTGCGACTGGCAAAAACAAGCCATGCGCGTGATTTGTAAATTGGTTTCCCGACCTACTCGGGTGAATCGCGGGGGGGGGCCGCCAGATGGAAACGCACCACGGCGGCGTCGGTGATCGGCACCGGCGTGCGGCCGCCAGCGAGTGCGACAGGCTCAGCAATGATGCTGCAAATAAAACCGGGTGTCGTGTTCACGCGACGGCGCCTGGAATTATGTCTTAAAAGAAAACCCTCGGGCCGGGAACTATCTTTTTAATCGTTCCCCCCCTCTTCGAGCGAGCGCACCGACGGCCGACGGGCCACACGGAACCGAAACGGAGGATTAGGAGGAAGGTGTACAAGAGAAAAACAGGGAGCCAACCGCAGCGGAGTGCAATTACAACGGCGATCGGATAGTACCTGCAATTATCCAGCTGCCTGATAGAGATGGGGAGGTGCAATTGAAGATGGGGGTGGATGATAAGGAGGTGGTGTTGAAGATTGCATGTGCTGTGCTACGAATTGTCGTAGGATCCGATTGATATGGCTTAGTGTCTTGGCATTTTTACACTATGAATTACTGACTGTTAGGGAGCACGAGCGGTTGCGGCGATTCCAATCGCTAAATAGACGCGAGTGCTCGCAAGAAAGCCAAGCAACAGCCATGTTCAATCGGATATTAACAACAATTTCTATAAACAAACAGCTCAAATGGTCGAGGCATGCCCAGGACAGGGGTATCAAATGACCGCCGCATTGTTGGAAACTGCGTTCAACCCTAAAACCAACAATGCTGGCTATTTCAAGGGTCATAACTCTCACCTGCATGGTGCGATCGGTTTTTCCAGCTTTTCAAATAAAAAGTGCCGTGCCCTTCTCGGGGGGGAACAGTTTCTTCGCAAAACTGGTTTTTCAAACGAGGAGCAATTAAACCATATAGAATTGTATCTCGAGCTTGTGGGAGACAAGGACCACCGCCGCGGCCCAGCCGTAACCGCCGCAACCGCAACATATCAGTTTTTGCAACGTGTTGCGTTTCAAGATGTCATCTGCAAAAATCCAGCGGGGGTCTGGGATCGGGCCGTGGGACATCTTTCGAATTTTGAGGGTTTCGACTGCACGTCCCTATCTCTATCAGGCATATGGATATAATTACAGGTGCTATCCGATCGTCGTTGTAATTGCGCCCCGCTGCTTTTGACTCCCCTCCCTTCTCCTTTACCCCTTCCTCCTGATCCTCCGTTTCGGCTCCGTCTGGCCCGTCGGCCGTCGGGGCGCGCGCCCGAGAAGGGCGGGTGGGAACGATTCAAAAACAATTTCCCGGCCCGAGGTTTCATTTTAATCATCATCCTCACTTACAGCGGGGCGCCCGAACCAAACCGGGCACGGCCTGGGGGGGCAGGGGGCTGGAGGGAGGGGCCGCAGAGGCAAGGGCCGTCGCCGCCGCTGCCGTCGCCCCAACTCACGCTGCAATCGCTTAGCTTTCCACAGACGAGCGGAGCTCCCTCCGCCACGACGGAAGCGCGCCCTGAGGGACTCGGGCCCTGCACCCTGGAGCTCCTGCCAGGTCCAGCTCGCCTGCCTGCGCGGCATCCCCCGGGGCCGTAGGCGACCCGAGGAGGAGGAGGAGGAGGAGGAGGAGGAGGAGGAGGGGGGAGGAGGAGGAGGAGAGGAGGAGGAGGAGGAGGAGGAGGAGGAGGAGGAGGAGGAAGGAGGAGGAGGAGGAGGAGGAGGAGGAAGGAGGGAGGGGGAGGGGAGGGGGAGGAGGAGGAGGAAGAGGAGGAGGAGAAGGAGAAGGAGGAGGAGGAGGAGGAGGAGAGGAGGAGGAAGAAGAGGAGGAGGAGGAGGAGGAGGAGGGGAGAGGAGAGGAGGAGGAGGAAGAGGAGGAGGAGGAGGAGGAGGAGGAAGGAGGAGGAGGAGGAGGAGGAGGAGGAGGAGGAGGAGGAGAGAGAGGAGGAGGAGAGGAGAGAGAGGAGAGAGGAGAGAGGAGAGAGGAGAGAGGAGGAGGAGGAGGGAGGAGGAGGAGGAGGAGGGAGGAGGAGGAGGAGGAGGAGGAGGAGGAGGAGGAGGAGGATACGGCACTGCCAAGGGAAGCGTCGCCCAGAGCACGAGCGCCCACCAAGGGCGCCAAGCTGCTGGCAGCCTGGCTGGCCTGCGAAGAGGCTGGGACCCCACCAAGATCTCGGGTACCAGCCACACAGACAAAAGAGACGGGAGATTAAGTCCCGCCACCTGGGTGGAACGGTGAGCTCCCGTGGAGCCTGACCCAATGAGTCTCAGGGTCGGAAACGAGTAACGGACGAGGTGCGGGGACTCGACGTGAGCCCTCCGTTTCTTCGCCCGCGGGATGTAAACCTTGCATGACGAGGCGTCGGTTACGCGCCGCCCGCTCTGACAGACGACGCGTGCTCCCCGACGGGCAATCAATTAGGAGGTGACCAGCCGTGCCCGTCGTGAAAGCCCCACAGGAAACACACAGGCAAACATGGCCCGAGGAAACCCAGAGACGATGGCCGCGAGCGGCCGTGGCAGGAACGGGGCCCGCTCCAGGCATAGGCTCGGCTGGTACTGTCGTGTCGGCCAGCGAGGGCCGACTTGGGCGCTTGGAGCCGATCCGCCTCCGCTTGTCTGGGAGGAAGGTGGGTCCCGAGCGCTCTGAAAAAGAAAGAACCCTGGCAGCGGCATCCGCCTGGGCACTCGCAGCTCCATCCCAGGCAACAGCGACGGGCTCGAAGCCCACGCGTGGCGTGACGTGTCGTTCAAAGCCAGGGGAGGCGAGAAAGGGCAACCCAGGCCCGAGGAGGGAGGGGGGGGATCCGCCTCGGAGGAGGAGGAGGGGGGGGAAGAGGAGGTGGATGAGGTGGAGGAGTTTTATCCAGGCGCTGCCTACAGGGAGCGGTGCAAGACAGGCAAGACGGCGTCCCTGCAAGACTCGAGGGCTAAACTCGACAAGCTGCCACACGGGCACATCAGCGAACGCGAGAAGAGTGCCAGCACATGCGAAAGGGGAGGGGGGAGGACGAGCGAGGCCAGGCGGCGGCGGGGCGGCGAGAGGCGCGGGGGGGCGCGCGCCTAGCTCTCGATGGGCATGCCGAGCTCGTCCACGCCGTCGAGATCGTCGATCTCTTGCTGCAGCCTCGTGATTCGGGCCTCGAGGTCGCGGACGACGACGGGGTCCGAGGCGTCGCCGAGGGAGCGCTCGAGGCGGATGAGGTAGTCCACGAGCACTCCGCGGTGCTTCTGACGCGTCACCAGAGACATGAACCCATGCAGGCGGAAAGATCCGAGCCGAAGAGGGTCGATTTCGTCGACCACGACGTGCAGCTCAGCGTCAGTGGGGGGATGTCCCAGCGAACGCAATACAGGGTCAAGCTCTGCAGTGGGGATGGTGCCGTTCCCGTTCTTGGCGCAGAGAGAAGGACACCTGGACTTCCGAAACCTGCGCCTCGGTCAGCTTGAAGTCTCCTTTGGCTCGCGGCGGAGCATCGGCATCGAGAGCGGGGCTGACGGCGACGTCTGGGGCCAGCGAAACGGTGGAGGCCTCCTCGAGCAGTGGGGCCACGACCGAAGGCGCTCCATCCAGCTTGGCACGGCGGCGCACGAAGGGCTGGTGGAGGGAGCCGCCTGTCGCCCAAAACTTCGCATCCTGCTCGGTCGATGTGTAGGTCCACCATGTCCCGCGAGGCTCGTCAGGAAGTCCGAGTGCGGGAACGCGGCCGCGTGGTGGCGCCCGCACCCTGTCGGGTGAGACGTCCCGCGGCTGCTTCGGCGCCCTGGGCCAGGGCGTGCACGGCGCAGCGCACCCAGCGGCGGCGTCGACCGCAGAGCATGCCTCGCCGTCCTGCGCTTCTGAAGCGGCGTGGCAAGCATCGAAAACGGCGGTGAGGCCAGCCGAGGCCGTCTGCGCGTCGCCGTCGTTCGTCTGCACCGCTGCTGTGGCCACCTCGGCGGGCGGGTCGGGCGGCCCCCTGCGCAGAGCACAACCCCGCGTACACGCGTGAGCAGGCCCCATGGCGCAGGAGAGGCGAAGGTCACCGCACCGCACGAACAGGGCCAACGAACTCGTCAGCGTCCGCGTTCAGCGGGCCTTCCACTGCGGAGGAGGCCTTCGCGACATAGGGATGGAGGCCGCGGGCAGCTCCCAGGCGGGGCCTGGCTGCAGCCCACCGGAGCTCCACGTCGGTGGCCTGCAAGAAGCCACAGGGCGGGACGCGAGCCGCGTGCCAGGCCGCGTTGCGGCGGCGCCTCGCACGCCCTGGCACGCGCGCGCCGAATGCCGCCAGCTGCAAGGCTGGGCGTGGGGCCCGCTCGCGGTCCCGCCATGAGCCTGGCAGTGCAGCACCCAGGTCCGCCCGCGCGCGCCGCACACCAACCTCGCAGGCCTGCTGCGCTCGGCGGCGGGCCGCCCGCCGAGCCTGCGTCGCGCCGAACTGCTCCGTCTCCTGGGCGCGAACGGGCCGCCACCGCGCAAGGCGGCCCCCCGAAGCCATGCCGTCCTCGACCCAACCAGCAGCAACACCTCCGGACCGGACCGTGCGCGATGCGGAAATGGCAAGCAGGGGGCTCGAGACCAGCTTGAGCCGAAATGGCTACGGAGAGGAGGTGGACGGGGGGGGAGGAGGAGGAGGAGGAGGAGGAGGAGGAGGAGGAGGAGGAGGAGGAGGAGGAGGAGGAGGAGGAGGAGGAGGAGGAGGAGGAGGAGGAGGAGGAGGAGGAGGAGGAGGAGGAGGAGGAGGAGGGAGGAGGAGGAGGAGGAGGAGGAGGAGGAGGAGGAGGAGGAGGAGGAGGAGGAGGAGGAGGAGGAGGAGGAGGAGGAGGAGGAGGAGGAGGAGGAGGAGGGGGAGGAGGAGGAGGAGGAGGAGGAGGAGGAGGAGGAGGAGGAGGGGAGGAGGAGGAGGAGGAGGAGGAGGAGGAGGGTCCTGCACCCTGGAGCTCCTGCCAGGTCCAGCTCGCTTGCCTTTGGCCCAACGCGCAGACTCACGTGCCCAGCAATCACACAGACACGGGCTCCCCCACTCAGAGGCGGCGCGTCGTGTATACCGTCTGTCCTCATGCGCAGCGCGGTGGCACTCCGAGCCTTCCGAGGCCTGGTGAGCCTTTTTTGTTTATATATAAATAGAATATATATATATATATATATATATATAAAAAAAAACAGCGTTTTGACATTGGGCGGAGGGTGGAGGAGGGGGGGGGCGTCTGGCTCCAGACCTCTGCGGAGTGGGACTGTTTGGAACCGTGCGTCCATTCTAGACTCCACTGGCTCGAAACAGGCGCCCAAAACAGCCAAGATCTACTCCAGAGGGGGTGGATGGGGGGGGGTGCCAGGGCCCGCGCCGATCGGCAAAACAACGAATATAGAAAAAACGACCACCTGGCGCGCGTTTTTGAAAAAATGGTTTCGCGCCCCGCGGGGTCTGGTCTGGTTTCCTCGGGGGCTGGCATCACTTCTCAGTCACAGGCTGACGTTGCCCCTTTCGGCGATCACTGGGTAACCGCATCCACGGCTCATCGCGCCACGAACGGAGGCGCAGGGGGGGCGCGGAGACGATCGAAGGCGGGACGGGGGGCGCAGGCGGCGCCCCTGGGGGGCCCGAGACAGGCCTCGGGGCGAGTCCCAGGGGGAGCCGCGGGGCCTCCCCAGCACGAAAACGGCGCCCATGCATCGTTCCATGTCTGGACTGCCGTCGGGCCCCGCTCCAGCGCGGTGCGGGGCATAGTTCTTCTTCGGCTCTGAGGGCCGAGACGGCATGCACCATTACCACTCCCAGGCCGAGCATCGACGACGCCTCGGGAGATGCCGACGCGGTACACGGTGCACACAGATTGTCCGCGGATCCAAGGATTCTCCAGAGCGACCCATCGACCCCGGGGACAGGGGGGGTAGGAGGAGGGCTCCCGCTCGAGCGGGCGCAGCCCTAGCTACACTCCATCCTTCTGCGGCGTTTTTCGAACCGGACCGATCTGTGATGTCCTCGGGACCCGACACCAGGCGCAAGCGCCCGCGGTGTGAAACAATGGCATCGCCCAAATCTCAAGGACTCACGCCCAGAATCCCACACCTCCCCCACCCCCCCGGTAAGACGCCAGGACGAAGATAAATTCGGACGAAGCTGAACCAGAAATCTCAGAGATCTGGCGGCTCTGGAGGACGTCTCGGGCGTTGCGGTCTTCTTAGAGCATTCTGGAACGCTCTGAGAGCGTTCCCGAATGCTCTGGAACGAATTTAGCCTCGTCCGAGTCCCCAGACATCCGGCCGCTCCAATATTTCCGATGTGTGGGCCCAAAAGGTCAGGACCACTTCCCCAGGACTGGTTTCTCGCTCAATGTGGTTCTTGACGGTCCCGAGGCCCGGCGCGGGCCCTCCCCCAGGGGCCGAAAACGGCCAAGAAGCGGCCGCTCCAACTTCTTCGGAGCGTCGGCTCTCTGGGTCGACGCGAACCCTGGAGCGCGCCCCAAGGAGGTCGGAGGGCCCTCTCCCAGCGCGCGCGTCCCCTGCTGGGCCGAGCGTGCTCGGGCGCGGCCCCGCTCCGAGGCCCCGGGGGGTGCGGCCACCAGGCCGACGGGCTCGAGGGAAGGGGGGAGGCGCCCAAGCCGCTGGGCGGTGGCTGTGCGGTGCTCCCTGACACGCGCTGTGACACCTGCAATTCGTGGAGAACTCGTGCGCTCGTGGACCTGCACCTCTTGCCTCGTCGAGTTTCGGATGCTCGTCGGCGAATAGGAAGCTCTTCCAAGTCACTCCGAAACTATGAGCTGGCTGGCGCGGAGAGGGGGAGACAAGAGTCGGGTTCGGGGGACTCGTGTTGGCCTGATTGGGCCGTCCAGAAACGGCGAGGCCCAATCTGGAATTTGACGCGAGCTCCCGCTGCAAAAATCCCACGGCAACGGAACCGCCAACATTCAGGAAGGGCCCATCAACAACGCGTCGGCGAACCCGATTTCTGGTGAACTCGAGTCTTGCGTTTCCACGAGATGAGGGGATAGGGGGCATCAGCAGAAGCAGAAAGGCGAGGAGTAGCAACGAGAAGACAGGAGGAAGATGGCGGGAAGGACGAGGAAGGGCAGGACACATCGACTACAGGTCTGACTCGCGCCCCAACGTACGCCAGCACCACGCCTGACTCACGCGCCCAACGCAAGGACTCATCCTCCCCCTGCATCAGAAGCGCGCGTGGACCCCGAAAAATCACCTGGGGCGGCGCGGGACCAATCCGAGGGCGAGGACGGGGGGAGTGAGCTTCTTCGGCGCTCCCTGGCGGCCCGACGCCTCCCAGGGCCTCTCCTCAGCTCTCCAAAGCTCGAGATTGGCCCAGGAATGCCACCAAAGCCGCTAACAAGGCCCAGCAATGCCTCAAGACGCACCCACGAGCCCATGAGAAGCGTCCAGTATGCTCTAAGAGGCCTCCAACACGCCCTGACCCCCAAGACGCCTTCCAGGATGCCCCCGAGAGGCCAAACACATTGATTTCCCGCTGGCTTGTATATGTGTTTAGCTTTCCATGCTCTTCGGTCGAAGGTGAGTCGGTCCACCTTGAGGGCCCAAAGGAGCCCACTCAGAGCTGCAAGAGGGACCCTAGTCGGCCCGGGACGGCCCCAAAAGATCTGAAGAGAGCCTCTAGAGGAAAGGCTCCCAGACGGCCCAAGAAAGCTCCAAGACGGCCCCAAGAGATCCCCCAAACGGCCAAGAAGAGAGCCCCAGGACGGCCCGGCAGTCCTCTAAGACGGCCAGGAGGGCCCCACGACGGTCCCAAGAGACCCCCAAGAATGCCCCGCAGGGAACCAAGACAGCCCCAAGACGGCCCAAACACGCCCCGTGAGAGCTTCTCAAGAGGTGGGCGCGAGGAGCGTCACGTGTGACGGCCTTCTGGACAGTGCTGGGTCGTCACGCAGAGTCACGCTTGCGGATTTGCCACAGGCATCTCGATAACAACATAAATATGTGCACGTCAACCAAACAGTTACAATCGTGGCCAACAAAGCTGACCGCGCTTGTGGGCTTAAAACGTGTGCGTGGGCAAAATCTATGGACTGATTGCCCGAGCACAATATCTGTGAGAGTTCAATGCGCCTCAGCCACAATGAACGCATATGCAGACCCTTCCCCAATGCTATTAATCCCAGGCAGGAACACTAGGACTCAACAACTTCTCACGTTTGCACCTCAAAGCACGCAACTTCTTGGTGGGAGCCGGGAATGGTACTTGCACGCCGTCTCGGAAAAGTGCGGGCTTGTAAGCGTGCGGGACCGAGTCGCCCATGATGGGGCTATTGCGGTACCGGCCGATATTTGCCTCAAGACCCTGGTCGTCGCTCCAGCGCGTCACGCAAGCCTTCTTGGAAAATGACTCCCAACCGTCAAAACCATCGAACGCACGCATGAACCGCTTCGCCTGCTCATGAGAAGTCCGCGACCCCGACTGCCGGGGGCGGGTCGTAATTATTTAGAGTTGCGTCACCCCTCCCCGCCAACCCAGGGGAGGGGGACTCAGCGTTGGTATCGATCGAACGCCGATCACCGACCTGATCTCCTCCCTTCGAGGGGGTGCTCCGAGCTTCCCAACCCACCTTACGCCTCGAAAACCTGCCGACCCTTGGCGTGTGTGAGACGCTGTCGTCGTCTTCGTCGTCGTTGTCGTCGTCTCCAGTCCAACGGGAATTTAGAGACGAACAAAGAAAAGAACTGTCGTAATCCCACCAGCCCTTTAGGGCGTAGGTGGTCTAGAGCGTTTCCTCTGCCAACCCCCCTTCTTTCCCTTCGGGGAGGGGTTTACCCCTCCCCTTACCCCTCCCCACTGACCTGGACGGGGCGTTCCGCGACGCGTTGGGACGCCCAAGATGGCCCAAGACTGCTCCAAGAGCGAAAAGGCGAGAAAGCACAAAACATTGATTTTCCTTAGGTTTTGGAAGGATTTTGGCCTCTTGGGAGGGCCCAAGAGGCGATCCGAGGCACTCTAGAGGGGCGAGGCTGATTGAGGCTCCCCCCTTCTTTGATATATATTCCCAACATGGCCCCAAGAGCGCCCCGAAGGCTCCCAAGAGCGCCCCAAGAGCGCCCCAAGAGCGCCCCAAGAGGGCCCCAAGAGGCGCCCAAGATGCCTCCAAGAGGCTCCCAAGAGACTCCCAAGAGTTTCCAAGAGAATCCCAAGATGGCCCAAGACGGCTCCAAGAGCGAAAAGGCGAGAAAGCAAAAAACAATGATTGTACCTAGGTTTTGGAAGGATTTTGGCCTCTTGGTGGGCCCAAGAGGCGACTCGAGGCACTCTAGAGGGGCGGGGCTAATTGGGGACCCCCTCTTCTTTGATCGATCTCCTCCAAGATGGCCCCAAGAGCGCCCCGAAGGCTCCCAAGAGCGCCCCAAGAGCGCCCCAAGAGCGCTCCAAGAGGCCCCAAGAGGCGCCCAAGAGGCCTCCACAAGGCTCCCAAGAGACCCCCAAGAGGCCCAAGAGGCTCCAAAGACGGCTCCAAGAGCGAAAAGGCGAGAAAGCAAAAAACATTGATTTTCCTTAGGTTTTGGAAAGATTTTGGCCTCTTGGGGGGCCCAAGAAGCGATTCGAGGCACTTTAGAGGGGCAGCGCTAATTGGGGACCCCCCCTTCTTTGATAGATCTCCTCTAAGATGGCCCCAAGAGCGCCTCGAAGGCTCCCAAGAGCGCCCCAAGAGCGCCCCAAGAGGGCCCCAAGAGGCCCCAAGAGGCCCCCAAGAGGCCTCCAAGATGCCTCCAAGAAACCCCCAAGAGGCCACAAGAGGCTCCCCGAGATACGCAAGAGGCCCCCGGGACCGCCAAGAGGCCCCAAAGACGGCCCAAGAGGCCCCCAAGCTCGCCATTGTCCTCCTCCTCCTCCTCTTTTTCTTCCTCCTCCCTCCTCCCCCTCCCCCTCCTCCCCCTCCCCCTCCTCCTCCTCCTTTTCCTTTTCCTCCTTCTCGTCCTCCTCGTCCTCGCAGTCCTCCATATCCTCCTCCTTATCCTCCTTCTCCTCCTCCGCTTGCTCCTCCTCGCGCTCCTCCTCCTACTCCTCCTCTTCCTCCTCCTACTCCGACGACGACGGCTCCTCCTACATCCTCCCCCTCTTGGGGGATATGGCGGCTCACCCCGCCCTTTGTTCTTCTGCATGCTCCCCCGCTCGCCCCAAGAGGGGCCCCAAGAGGCTCCAAGAAGCGCCCCAGAGGCTTCCAGGATGATCCCAAGAGACTCCCAAGATGCCAAAATCCATCCAAAACTCTGCAAATCAACGTTTTTGGCTTTCTCGCTTTTTCGCTTCCGATGGCCATCCGAGGCCTGAAGATGGCTCCAAGATGGCCCAAAAAGGCACCAAGAGAAGCCCAAGAGAGCTCCAAGACGGCCCCAAGAGCGCCCAGGAGCGCTCCAAGATTGCCCCAAGAGCGCCCCAAGAGCAACCCAAGAAGGCCCCAAGAGGCCCCAAGAGGCCCCCAAGATGCCCCCAAGAGGCTCCCAAGAGATCCCCAAGAGGCCTAAATATGCTCCCAAGATGGCCCAAGACGGCTCCAAGAGCGAAAAGGCGAGAAAGCAAAAAACATTGATTTTCCTTAGGTTTTGGACGGAATTTGGCCTCTAGGAAGGCCCAAGAGGCGATTCGAGGCACTCTAGAGGGGCAACGCTAATAAGCACCCCCCCCTTCTTTGATAGATCTCCTCCAAGATGGCCCCAAGAGCGCCCCGAAAGCTCCCAAGAGCGCCCCAAGAGCGCCCCAAGAGGCCCCAAGAGGCCCCCAAGAGGCCTCCAAGAGGCCTCCAAGAGACTCCCAAAAGGCCACAAGAGGCTCCCCGAGATACGCAAGAGGCCACCGGGACCGCCAAGAGGCCCCAAAGACGACCCAAGAGGCCCCCAAGCTCGCCATTGTCCTCCTCCTCCTCCTCTTTTTCTCCCTCCTCCCTCCTCCCCCTCCCCCTCCTCCGCCTCCTCCTTCTCCTCCTCCTCCTCCTCCTTCTCGTCCTCCTCGTCCTCGCCCTCCTCCATCTCCTCCTCCTCATCTTCCTCCTCCTCCTCCTCCTCCTCCTCCTCCCCCTCCTCCTCCTGCTCCTCCTCCTGCTCCTCGTCTTCCTCCTCCTACTCCGACGACGACGACTCCTCCTACATCCTCCCCCTCTTGGGGCGTATGGCGGCTCAACCCGCTCTTTGTTCTTCTGCATGCTCCCCCGCTTCCCTCATCACCTCCACTCCCCTGGGGCTCATTTCTGGACGGGCTGGTGGGGATACGCGAAGCGTCTAGAATTACGTCGATTCCTCCCCTTTTCCCCTCCCTGACGGGGGATGGTACGGGGAGGGGTACGGTACGGGGGGGGGGTAGGGGGGGGGTACGGTGCGTGTGGGTCACTTTACAACCAGAAGCGCACTTTACAACCAGATGGGTCACTTTACAACCAGCTTACAAAATCCGAGAAGGGCACTTTACAACCAGGAAGGGCACTTTACAACCAGGCAAGTAAAACCACATATTGAATGCACGCGTGCCTTTCCCTGAAATCTCCGCGGGCAAGCGCAAGGGTGGCTCTGGGCTCTTTGAGGCATGTTGGTTGTAAAGTTGCCCATCGCGCACGAAGAAGCACTGTGCACGAGTTGGCGATGCGGCGACCTGGTGCGCTATGGCATGTTGCGTGCTGGTGGGCGGATTCGAGTTTTGACCTGCTCTCTAAGCTCTGTCGGTCAGTTCTGCCATTGCTTGCTCTGCCTTTTTTTTCTGACGGGCGAAGGCTAGTCGCAGGACGTACGAATAAACCATGATCCCGTCCAAGACTGGAGCTGCATGGCAGTGGAAAACTGTAGTGGGAGATGTGGTGGTAGCGGGGGCTACAATGGGAACTGCATGGTGTTGGGAAGCTGCGGTGGCAACTGTGGTGGTCGCCAGGCAACGGTGGGAACTGTGGTGGTAACTGGGCTGCAATGGGATTTGCGGTAGTAGCGGGGGGTCAGTCGGAATTGTGGAGGTAGCGGGGCTGCAGCGGTAAGTGTGGTGGTAGCAGGCACAAAGGTGGCGGTGATGCGCTGTCACGGTGGCTCAAGCTGCTGCGCTGGCACGGTGGCTGAGGCTGCTGCCCGAGCAGGATACCTGCGTTGCTGCGCTGGAACTGTGGCTGACGCTGGAAGAAACGATCTTCGAAATAGTTGCATTTATTCGGAACGTTGGACCTCGATCGTCCAAGACGAGGAGCAGCAGGGGGCCAACTGGAGCTGGCGCACTTAGCCCCTTGCAGAACACCGCGGGGCTTCAGGGGCCAACGTGGCCCAAGAGACCCGCGGTGCCAATGGCCTAGTTCCCTGGAGCGCTGGGCCCTTGTGGAGGCCACTGGGCTCGCTTCCTGTGAGTGACCCCTAAAATGGGCAGCGCGTCGCCCTGAGCCTTCCTACGTACGCTGTCGCCTTATTCCCGTGCGAGCACGGGGCCCTTGTTGAGGCCGCTTGGCCCCTGCTAGCAAGCCCTGTCTTAGTCTGCTGGGCTCAGAGCGCCAGAGCGTCCAGGCGCTCGGGCTCAGAGGCATCGCTGGGGCCTGCTCAGAGCGTCCAGGCGCTCGGGCTCAGAGGCATCGCTGGGGCCTGCGCAGAGCGTCCAGGTCCTCGGGCTCAGAGGCATCGCTGGGGCCTGCGCAGAGCGTCCAGGTCCTCGGGCTCAGAGGCATCGCTGGGGCCTGCGCAGAGAGTTCAGGCGCTCGGGCTCCAGAGCGCCCACGTGCTCTGGATCACTTTTCAGAGCGTCCGCGCGCCCTGGAGCACTTTTGAGAGCGCCCACTTGCTCTGGAGCATTTTTCAGAGCGCCCACTTGCTCTGGGGCATTTTTCAGAGCGCCGGCTTGCTCTGGAACGCTTTGCGGAACGCCCAAACACGCACGGCCACTCTGAGCTGGTTGTAAAGTGGTCCGTTCTGGTTGTAAAGTGGCCCGTTCTGGTTGTAAAGTGGTCCGTTCTGGTTGTAAAGTGGGCCGTTCTGGTTGCAAAGTGGACGTTCTCGATGAAAAACCATACTTTCCAATCCTATGTTGGTTGTAAAGTAACACATCTGGTTGTAAAGTGGTTGTTCTGGTTGTAAAGAGACCGAATCTCGGGGTACGGGAGGTGTCCTGAGTCAGATTGCCGCCACCCCTGGGGTCCTGGCGGCCCTCCCTCCCCTCCTCGGTCACTCCTGTGGACATGAAGGACCAGGAGGGGGACCCCTGCAAGGGGGGGGTCCTGGAAGGGGGGTCCCGGGGGAGGTCCCGTCTGTTGTGGGGGAGGGGGGGGAGGTCCCGCCTGCAGGGTCGGCGGCACAGGCCGTGAGGCCTGGACAACAGCCCACCAGGCCACCGCCGATGCCTTGACAATTAGCTCAAGAGGACTCGGCGCCAAGATGGCTCAAGAGTCCACCGGAGGTTTCAAGTTGGCTGCCTTGACGGCCGGCCGAGAACCAAGCACAGTAACACCCAATTAAAAGGTGCTTGAGCGTGTTTGGCATCTCAACTTTTTCGGCTCAAGACCGCTTCAAGATGGTGTTCAACGGCCTCCGAAAAAGTCAAGAGTTTTTCCAGGGGACGCCAAGACGGTCCAAGATGCCCCCTCAATAGGCTCAATATGGCCCCAAAGCTCCCAACTCGCCTTGCAAAATGCCCCAAGACGGCTTCCGGACCGATGAAGACGGCCCCAAGGCTTCCCTGGATACCCACAATGCCCGTACAAACGGCTCACGACCCCCCAAGGGAGGGCACGCTAAGATGGACCAAAAGCACCCGACGGAGAGCACCAACAGAGCCCAAGAGAGACCTAAAACGGCTCCAACAAGTCCCAAAGAGAGCCTAGCATAGAATCCCGAAAGCCCCATTGGAATGACGTCCAAAAGTTCCAAGGGGGGCCCGGCACGTCCCGACCAGTAAATCGGATCATCACGATATCGCTCTGCTGGAGGTCAGCGGACGGGCGTAAGCCTCTGGTATGAAATTCACGAACACATACCCCACGCCAAGCGTGGTGCTAAAATTGATAGGCATGTGGATGAAATCAAACTGAGTCGAGAACCCCCTCGAACCGAACAAATCGATCAACTTGTCGCGAGTGTAGGAAAATGGCACGCCGCACATCATCACCGTCGTGAGCTCCTCATCTCGCACGGTTGTCTTGTCTTGCCTTGGCGGCTGCTTATTCGGACTGCCAATCGAGGCCACATGTGCACTCTCACCGGCCTGCCTACGTAGAGGCGTGTGCTCGCCGGAATTGGTCTTTCCGGACCCGGGAGGAGACTCTTGTCGGTGCATCTTGACTGGACACTGCAGCGGACAGGAAGCCTCACTGGAAAGATCGGCTAGGGAGCACGACTCTGGAATGCTGACAGAGTCAATGTCGGACCTCGGCAGCTGGGGGGCACAACTGTGGCAGGAATCGTCGGAAGAGTAAGACTGTCGCGCGATCTGCACCTTTCGCGGCAAGTTGCAGTCCGGAATGCGGCCGCCACTTGCACCAGATACTGATATCACGCCCTGGCGCACAGCAATCACCTTTGCAGGCTGACCTGCACTGCATGCGTTCCTTGCAGGGGAAGCGCAGATCATGCCAGCCATCACACCTGGTGCAAGTAACGCACGAGGTGAGGCAACTTGTCACGGTAACATGTGTCGACTAAGTGTGAGTTGTTTGCCGCGGATCGGACAGCGTCCGAGTTGGCTGAGTGTGGTGGCTTTGACCTTTGACAGGGGGCCACGGCCTGAACACAAATGGCCATAGAGGAGCGAGGAACGGACAACAGGGGAATACTTAGGTAGATAATGAGATGGATGAAATGGAGCGAGGGGGGGGACAGTGTTGCGAGAGAGAACGAGACATAGACACAAACACACACGCACACACACACACACGCACGCTCGCACGCACGCACGCAGGCATGCATGCACGCACACACACACACACACGCACGCACGCACGCACACACCGACACGCACACGCACACGCACACGCACACGCACACACACACACCCGCACACGCACACGCACACGCACACGCACACGCACGCACATGCACACCCACACACAAGCACACACAGACACATACAGACACACACACACACACACCCGCACCCGCACCCGCACACGCACACGCACACGCACACGCACACGCACACGCACTCACACACACACGCACACGCACACCCACACACACGCACACACAGACACATACAGACACACACACACACACACACGCACACACAGCAAGTCACACACAAACACACCCATACCCACGCCCTCCCACACACCCACACCCCACACACCCACGCACCCACACACCCACACACCCACACTCTCACACACGCGCACCCACACCCACCCCCACCCCCACACCCACCCACACACGCACACACGCACACACCCACAAACCCACACACCCACACACGCACACACGCACACACGCACACACCCACACATCTTCACTCCCACACACCCACACACCAACACACTCACACCCACACCCACACCCACACACACACACCCACACCCAACCCCACACCCACACCCACAGCCCACCCACACAAACCCCAACACAATCCCACACAAACTCGCACACGCCCACACACACACACCCACACACCCACGCATACACCCATACAGCCATACACCCATACAGCCATACACGCATACACCCATACAACCATACACCCACACACGCACACACCAACACGCACACCCACCCACCCACACCCACACCCAACACCCCCACACACACACCCACACACGAACACACACACACACACCTGCACCCGCACCCGCACACACACACACACGCACGCGCACGCGCATACACACGCAAACACACACACACACGCGCACACGCACGCATGCGCACGCATGCGCACGCGCACGCGCACGCGCACCCACACCCACGCACGCACACACACACACACACACACACACGCACGCACGCGCACGCGCACGCGCACGCGCACGCACACGCACATGCACACGCACACGCACACGCACACGCAAACGCCAACGCACACGGCACACGGCACACGCCCACACACGCACACACGCACACACGCACACACGCACACATGCACACACGCACACACGCACACACGCACACGCACACGCGCACACACGCACACGCACACACGCACACACGCACACACGCACACACGCACACATGGACACATGGACACACGACACACGCACACACGCACACACGCACACACGCACACACCCCCACACACACACCACACCCACCCACCCACCCACACACACAACCCACATACCCACACACCCACCCACCCACCCACCCACACCCACCCACACACCCATACACACCCACACACACCTACACACCCACACACACACACCCACCCACACACACACAAACACACACACACAAACACACACAGACACCCACACACGCACACACGCACACACGCACACACGTACACACGTACACACGCACACGCACACACGTGCACACGCATACACGCACACACGCACACACGCACGCACGCACGCGCACATACGCACGCCCACCCCCTTGTACCCGCACGTACCCCCACGCACACACACACCACACCACAACACAACACAACACAACCTAACACAACACAACACAACACAACACACCACAGCAACACACCCACCACCACTCACACCAACACACACACACACACCAACACACAAACACCAACACACCAGAACACACACCAACACACACACACACCCACACACGCACACACATACACACACGCGCACATACATTGCAAACGTTGGCGTGGATCTGTGATTCTAAATGTGGGTGCAGTTTGATGAGCGCGTTGGACTATCAGACGCTCCAGCTCGACATAAGCTCGAGCTGAAAAAGCTCGAAATTCCACTGCACCCTGGATAGAGCTCATTATGCTGGAAGTGCGGCGATGCCATCCGAAAGTGCCAGATCATGTGAACTTTGATCTGGCCTGCTCATTCTGTCTAGCTCGAGACGAAGCCAAGACACTCTTCCAACATGGACGCTGGCGTGGTATTGGCCACCCTCCGAAGCGGATATCGAATGCGACAGAGCATCCCACGGTCGGTTATCGTAGAAGGTCACTCGTCATCCCGACATCGCTCACCTGATAATCTCGCCAACCTGATTGGCTATGACCGTGCTCGACCTGGGGAACACAAGGACAGAAAGCGCGTTCTCCAGGAATGGGTGCGTGATCGCTCGAATGTGACGCCTACATGCAGACAACGACGTTTCCGGAGCCAGACTGATGCTTCTTGCTGGTGGAGGTGGTGCTGCTAAGAAATTCCGGGACCCTTTGGGGCACCGCGAACCCCTCTGGCCGTCTTGGCCCCCTTGAGTGGTCTCCAGAGCGTCTCGGGGCTCTCGTGAGTCTGGAGGTGCTCTTGGAGTTCCTTGGGCTGCGAAATCTGAGAAACCCCCATCCTGGACTACAATTGAAGGGCATAGCATAATCAACCAAGATCGAATCGGGAAATCGGATCGGATCGGAATTTGCGGCGAACGCGAGCGCTTCGGCACGGAATCGGAATCGAATCCGATCAGCCGCGCTAGAATGCACAGCAAGGCGATGCGGACATCGGGACGCACCGGATCGTCGGAACACCGGGATCAAATCGGAACGGACCGGCCAGAATCGACATCGAATCGGATCGATCGGATCGAAATGGACCCTTCAGGCCTGTTCTACGATTCTGGCATGCGGGAGGAGGAAGCGATGGGCCGGCACGCCTGCGCCGCCTGTTCGTGGTCATCGAACCTGAGACTGAACCGAGCTTGTGTGCTGGACGCTACCCTGGCTTCGACTCGAACCCGGAGGATATCACGATCCGGCCTGCTGCCGCCGGAGAAAGGGATTGATGTTCTGTGATGGCGTCGAGAGGTCGTACTGCTGCTTCTGCCATGGCAGGCTCAAGCGGCTTCCGAGCTCGCCCGCCCGCGCTGAACCTCCTGAACCTCGCATTTACACTGCCGTCACCTCGATGGAGCCTGATCTGGGTTGCCCTCCCCGAGCTTGGTCCTATGCCCGACGGGCCCGAACTCTCGTCGGTATCTATAGAACGGGCTACCCTGGACGGCTAATGCCGCGGTCGAGCAGGCCGAATAGTGGCCGACTTCGGACCACCCCGGGATCTCTGCACTGAGGGCGTGCAGGGCCACACCAAGCCCAGCTCGATGCAGGGGGCGCTTGCGGCGTCGACTCTCGGGAATGGCCTCGGATGGAGCCCTCTTGAATCTCACAGGACGCGTACCCCGGAGCCTTGCCATTCCACCTTGCAACCCCGCGCACGCTGCCCTGTCGTGGAAAGTGCTGCAGTGGTGAAGCTTGGCGGGCGAGGCGTGAAGAACACGTGGATTTATACCGCTGGCACTCTGGCTGGAGTGGGATTCAAAGCCTCTCCCCTTCTCGTTCCATCCCGCCACCCTGTCAGTCCGCATCCTTCCTTTTTCAGTCTCACTTCTCTGCTATTTTTCTTATAGTTCTTTTTCTTCTTCTTCTTACTACTACTACTACTTCTCCTCATCCTCGTCCCATGCCCCGCCCTACCCGTGTACCTGCTTCTCCTCCTCCTCTTGGTCCTCCTGTCCTGTCCTTCTCTTCCTCCTCCTCGCCTTCCGCCTCCGCCTCCGCCTCCGCTTTTTCCGAATCATACTCCCCACTGTTCCACAAAGATCAGCCAGCATCGAATCGGGAAACTGGGTCGAACCCTCCAGCTCCTCCTCCTCCTCCTCCTCCACCTCCTCCTCCTCCTCCTCATCATCAGCATGATCATCATCCTCATCCTCATTATCTTCCTCCTTCTCCTCCTCCTCCTCCTCCTCATCAGCCGCACTATCATCATCATCACCACCACCACCACCATCACCATCACCATCACCACCATCATCATCATCATCATCATCATCATCATCATCATCATCATCATCATCATCATCACCATCATCAACATCATCATCGTCATCGCCATCGTCATCGTGATCGTCATCATCGTCGTCTTCATCACCAGCATCATCATCATCATCGTCGTCATCGTCGTCATCATCATCATCATCATCATCATCATCATCATCATCATCATCATCATCATCATCATCATCATCATCATCACCATCACCATCATCATAACATCATCGCCAATGCCATCGTCACCGTCATCATCATCATCACCACCACCACCATCATCATCATCATCATCATCATCATCATCGTCATCACCAACATCAGCATCAGCACCAGCATCATCATCATTTTCAATATCAGCAACATCATCACTATCATTATCCTCATCCTCATCCTCATCCTCAGCCTCACCCGTATCCGCATCAGCATCATCAACAGCATCAGCAGCATCAGCATCGGCACCATCATCATCATCATCATCATCATCATCGTCATCGTCATCGTCATCGTCATCGTCATCATCATCATCATCATCATCATCATCATCATCATCATCACCACCATCGTCATCATCATCATCATCATCATCATCATCATCAGCATGAGCTTCCACCTCCCACCCTCCCTTGCGATAATGAAGAGGGAAAGGAGGACGAGGAGGATGACAATGGGAGGGAGGGAGGAAGTGAGGGAAGGAGGAATAGAGAACCATGAGGAGAAGAGGAGTCGGACAGACGAGCGGGGAGGAGGTGGACGAGGAGAAAGACATCCACGAGACGGAGGGGGGACGCGTGGAAGACTCAGGGGGAAAATCCGTGGTTGGCCTGCGTATTCAGGAGCCCTCCTTCCGCCCCGATCCCGTGCCCATCGGCTGGCCGTGGACAGCTGCGTGCAGCCAGGGGCGCTGCGAAGAAGCCCCCCCCGGTGGTTGCGTGATAACCGACCCCTAACAAACGAAAACATGACTGCCCATGCTGGACATAAGCTGACAACTCTGTGTCGCTCTACTGTTAATTATGAGCCACGTCTACACGGCTGAGCGGGAGGGGGCTGGGAACGGCCACGACACTCCTTGACAAAAACCATGCCCCGAGTTGTGGCCACCGCGATCGCCGTAGCGACCTCCCAAATCGACCCAGAGCTTTGATTCGGGGTCGGATATCAGGCAACGATTCTTGGAAACCTGGGCCTTGTCAGAAGCCTTCGGGCCCTTACACTGTAGAGGGGAAACATTCATGGACACCCCCCTCCCCCCAAATTCGAAGTTGGCACGCGAGGGGAAGGTTGCGGTCGAAATGCAACTCGTCAGCGACATCGCCAGCGTCGATCATTGGGCGGAGGGGGGCATTGACGAATCTGGCACGAGTGTTCGCTAGTGTTTTCCAAGGCCCGTCAGAGGAACCCCCTGACTTTCTCGGGCGCGCACCAACATGGATTACGGACCCGTGGATCTGAGAAGGCCCTCTCCTTCTCATTTCCCCCCCTCGCTCGTCGCCGAGATTTGATGACGGAGCGCGCCGACTCTGTACGGAAGCGAGACCCCCTGCTACTCCACGCGCCTTGATCCATGTCTGCGCCTCCTCGACGTTCCAAGAGTTCCCCCGCCTTCGTCGACGGCCGCCCCCCCGTCGCGCCAACCCCCGTGTGCGCGCCGCCTACCAGTGTGGCACATGCACGTCGCGATGGCGTGGGCGTTTGTTTATGACACCGCGTACACCGCTTACAGTAGGAGCTCGACCACAAGAAACCTCCCTCAAGAAACCCAACCCCCAGACCCTGGGACGTCCCTCGATTTCTGGTGTGTGAGCGTCGCGCTTTCCGTCGAAAAACCATCGAAAACCAGGGAACCCAGGGCACTCTGGAGTCGGGGGCGCGCAAACATGGATTAGCGATTCATGGATTTGGCGCGCGGTCGCCTGATCCATAGATCGGGAGAGGTGCCATCCCGAAAATGCGGCCGGTGCCGCCTCGCTCGGCGGCGGAAATCCGCGATCTTCCATGGGAGCGGGACCCGTCGCTAATCCATGCCCCCTTAATCCATGTTTGCGATCGCCTGATGGAGGCAAGGCGATAGGTAGATAGTGAGATGGATGAAGTGGAGCGAGGGGGAGGACAGTGGTGCGAGAGAGAAAGAGACACAGACACAAACACACACGCACACAAACACGCACCCACACCCACACGCACGCACCCACACGCACGCACACACCGACGTGTGTGTTTCCGGTGTGTGCCACCGCGGAATCTTCAACGATCCAGGCCTTCCGATCGCGCGGATCCTTCGCCCTCGGCCGGCTCCGGGCCACGGGCGGCGCTCGACCCTGAACGCCCGCGCCGGGGTCGCCGCCGCGCCGACGCGGCGCACACGAGCCTGCCGTGCACCTCTCGGCGGCAAGACCTCCCTCCAGGAGCCGCGTAGAGCGAGCGAGCGAGCGTCCATCCGGCCCCACGGATTGTAGAGCCCTGGAGAGAGTCCTCCCACTACAACACTCCAGAGCCCGAAAAAATCGTTCGCCCTCCTCCGCCCTGCTCCAGCGACCCCCCCTCCGATGCCGCGCCGGGGCCTGCGGACGGCGGCACCCATCACGACGCCCGCCGTATCCGCGACATGACGACCGCGTTGGGGTTCTTCACCTGTCCGCTCGGAGATGGGGGGGCAGAGAGCAGGGGGCGAGGAGGGCCCTCGAAGCTGCGTTTGAGTCTCCATGCGACGCAGTCCTGCCCCCACCCTCCCAAGTCCCCCAGAGGCGAGCAGGGGGCACTACAAGGTGAGAGGCCTGCACCTGTCCTGGGCGAGCCGCTCCAGTCGCGGGTGAAGTCGCACGCTGCTGGCAAGAGGCACAAGTGACAGGTGGTAGGATGAGGGCGGCGGGGCTCCAGAGCCGAGCAAGATGACCTGAGGTGTTCACGCGCCACCTCCTCCTCCTCCTCCTCCTCCTCCTCCGCCTCCTCCTCCTCCTTCTCCTCCTCTTCCTCTTCCTCCTCCTCCTCCTCCTCCTCCTCCTCCTCCTCCTCCAAACGTCGGGGAAGCCATGGGGGCGCAGGGTGGACCTGCCCCTGCCGAGGGCAGGAACGCCAGGACAGCGACCAGAATGGACGCGCGCGTCAACCGTGCAATCAAGAGTGGCGCCACCAAGAACTTAGGGCAACTTTCTGGGTCAAGTCGTCCCAAAGCCATATCGACTCGAGCAGTGAAAACATCAAAGCCCAACAGATCTTCAATCCTGGCGCCCTCCTGCTCTCCCTCCCTCACCTTCCCTGATACTCCAACGTCCCTCCCTCCCTCTTCCTCCATCGTTCCTCCTCCCTTCCCCCTCCTCCGCCCCCTCCTCCTTTTCTTCCTCTTCCTCCTCTTCCTCCTCGTACTCCTGCGCATTGCGCACTGACGGCGTTGGTGTCTCATGGACGCTGCCCCCCCCCCCCCCCCCAAACCTCCTCCTCCTCCTCCTCCCTCCTCCTCCTCCTCCTCCTCCTCCTCCTCCTCCTCCTCCTCCTCCTCCTCCTCCTCTTGCTCCTCCTCCTGCTCCTCCTCCCCCTCTCCCTCCCCCTCCTCCTCTCCCTCCCCTTCCTCCTCCTCCCCTCCTCCTCCTCCTCCTCCTCCTCCTCCTCCTCCTCCTCCCCCCCCTCCTCCTCCTCCGCCTCCTCCTCCTCCCCCTCCTCCTCCTCCTCCTCCTCCTCCTCCTCCTTGATCACCTCCAGCGCCTTGCAGCGAAGCACTGCTTCGAGGCCGCAACTCTGAGCTGGCAGGACATCGCCGACAGTGACGGTTGCACTTGAGGCAGCTGCGGGCCTCCTTGACCCTGTCGCTCCTGAGCCCGACCGCCCGCTTCGGCCGCAGCTACTGGACGCTGACGACCTCGCGGCCTTTTCGGAGCTTGGGCACGATGTATTCCAGGCTGGCGAGATGCTTTGCTGCCATCGGTGCGGGGGTGCTGTACCGTACAAGGCTTTCGAACAGCGCGCAAGCTCCGGCGTGAGCGCCGGGGGTTCTCAAGGAACCCCGCTACGCGCCGCAACCAACTTTCGGCGATCGAAAGGGTCGGCCGAGGGTTGGCGCCCCGCCAGAAGGGCCCTGCCTAGAGCACGGCTCCCCGCTGGGGTGGAACCCTCCTGGTTTCCACCCCCTCTTTATCGCGAGCCCTCCAGTCTGCGGTACCTAGGTTGCCTGCCGTCTGGCGGTGTGCAGCTCAGGGCCCGCAGCAGGGTGGCTCGTGGCGCCTGGAGGCCGCGGGCGTCGGTGCGGGCCTAGCTGCCCGATGCCTGCGGAACTGGGTGCTTCGCGGGCGGGATTCCCTCTTGGTTTCCCGCCTGCCTTGGCTCAGGCTGTCTCGGAATGGCGCTGGCCGAGTCGCCCATCTTCCCGGCATTGTCCGAGGAGGATGGCCAGTATTGACCGTGATCGGCCAGCTGCTTCCGTGTGCCGCTCGCTCTGGTGGCGATGCTCGAACTGCTTTGCACGACATGCGCGATTTCGTGTGTTCTTGCAGCTCTCGAGGCCTTGCGCAGCATTGGTGGCCCCGCAATATGTGCCCTTTGTTTCCTATTGAACTGGGCACTGCTCAATGCTATTGTCCAAGGCGTTTCCCGGCATTGTCCGGCGCGTTTCCTGGCATTGTCCATCGCTTTTCCTGCGCCGCGTTCGTCTACTTTGACGCGGTCAGCGGAGCTCTGCGCTTCTTCTCCTCCTTCTCCTCCTCCTCCTCCTCCTCCTCCTCCTCCTCCTCCTCCCCATCATCGTGAACATGATGATCATAATCCTCCAGAAAGTCCTCATCGTCAACATGATAATCAGAATCTTCCTCATCGTCGTCGTCTTCCTCCGCAACATCCACCTCCTTCTCCTCCCTCCCCCTCCTCCTCCACCTCCTCCTACTACTGCTCCTGCTTATCTTCCTCCACCGTTCTTTCTCCCCTTCTCCTCTCCCAATCCTCTTCCCCTCCTGCTTCTCCTCCTCCCCCACCCTCCTCCTCCTCCTCCTCCTCCTCCTCTTCCTCCTCATGCTCCGCCCTTCTCCACCTCATCCTGCTCCTCTTCGTCGTCCTCCTACTCCGCCTCCTCCTCCTCCTCCTCCTACTGCTTTTCCTCCTCCTCCTCCTCCTTCGTCTCCTCCTCCTCCTCCTCCTCCTCCTCCTTCGTCTCCTCCTCCTCCTCCTCATCATCATCACCATCACCATCACCATCACCATCACCATCACCATCACCATCACCATCACCATCACCATCACCATCACCATCATCATCATCATCATCATCATCATCATCATCATCATCATCATCAGCAGGAGCATACTGATCATCATCAGCATCATTATCAGCAGCAGCGGCAGCATTAGCATCATCATCAACACCACCATCATCTCGAACACCACCACCACCATCACATCATAATCAACACCATCATCACCATCAATATCAACATCATCATCATCACCATCACCAACGTCAGCATCATCAACAGCATCCGTCACCATCATCACCATCAACAGCATCAACAACAACATCATCATCATCATCATTATCAGCATCACCATAATCACCATCATCATCACCATCATCATCATCATCATCGACACCATCGTCATCATCATCAACATCAAAGTCAGTATCATAATCAGCATCACCATCAGCATCACAACCATCACCATCCTCATCATCCTCATCATCCTCATCCTCATCCTCAGCATCATCATCATCGTCAGCATCAGCATCACCATCGCGATCACAACCATGATCACCATCGTGATCACCAGCATCATCATCATCATCATCGTCGTTACCGACATCGTCATCGTCATTGTCATCGTCAAGATCATCACACATTAACATCATCACCACCACCATCGCCATTACCATCACCATCGCCATCACCATCATAACCATCATCATCACCACCATCGTTTTATCATCATCATCCCCATCACCAGTATCATCACCATCGCCATCATCATCAGCATCATCATCCCCATTATATCATTAGCATCATAATCACCATCATCATCAGAACAATCAGCATCATCAGCATCATTATCACCATCAACATCATCAGCACCATGATCACACTCACCATCATCACCAACACCATTATCGTCATCATCATCAGCATTATCATACGCATCACCATCACTACCTCCCTCGTCATAATCATCATCATCCTCATCATCATCGACCTCATCATCACCATCATTGACACCATCACCATCACCACAATCACCAACCCACCACCGTCACCATCATCAGCATCATGATTGTCATCCTCCTCACCCTTCGCCTCCTCCTCATCAGGATCATCATCATAATCATCAACATCATCATCATCATCATCATCACCACCGCAGCCAACACCATCATCGTCATCATCATCATCATCATCATCATCATTATCAATATCAACATCATCACATCCATCAACATCATCACCATCACCAACATCATCGTCGTCATCAACATCGTCACCGTCACCGCCACCGTAACCGTCGTCATCATCATCAGCAACCTTATTGTCATCGTCATCGCCATCGCCATCGCCATCGTCGTCATCAACATCATCATCACGGGCATCATGTCCATCACCATCACCATCACCACCATCACCATCAATCTCATCATCACCATCATCATCACAATCGTTATCGTCGTCGTCATCAAAAACGTCATCACCATCCCATTCCTCCTCCTCCTCCCCTCTTCTCTCCTCTGTTCCCCCTCCCTCCTTCCCCCCTCCGTCCGTCAGCCTCCTGCTCCTCGTCCTCCTGTGACTCCGCCTTTTCCTTTCCCTCCGCCTCCCCCCGTGCATCATTCCTCCTGGTCGGCGCGCCCTGTCGATCAGGGTGAAGCTGTTCTGTCCGCCGTCGGTCCCCATGACCTGCGGGCGCGAGGCCGAGCGGGGCGCTCCTGCCCTTCCCTCTGCTGCTCCGCCTTCTCGAGGAACCTCCTCCTCCTCGATTAGGATCCTCCTTCTTCTTGTTCTCCTCCTTCTCCTCCTTGTCCTCAATGAGGCCCCGGGAGGCTGCATGAGAAGCTGAAAGGAAGCCCCCCCGGTTTTCCACCGAGGTCCAGGGGTCCGCGATGGCGCAAGAGCACATCCCCAGAGCATTGAGAAACCGCCGAAAATGAGGACGAAAACGAAGCCGGTGCCCAAGAACCGTACCGTGGTCGGACTCGGGCCCAGCAACACAAACCGTCCGCGGAACGAGTGTCGGGTGGGACGGAAAACAACGAGCGAACAAACCATCACTGCAGACAACCGCCCAGGCTTGGCTGGGACCGGGTGGGGGAATACATGGCACTTTGAATACAAGCCAGCAAACACGTGCTCCGAAACGAATCGACAAAACAACACTTGATGCTTGATATACAGGAGTGGAGCGGAGGAACCCTGGTTTGGGATGCCCGCGAAGTGCTGTCGTGAGTCGTGTGCTGGCATGCGCCGCTGGTGCAGTGGTGCTCGAGGGTCGACCACGCGAGTATGTCTTGAGCTGATTGAGCCAGGAGATATCGATAGGTTGGCCTTCTGCGGTGGTTGGCGTTGGCGTTGGGCTGAGGTCGGGCTTGTGTTGCTGGGGTTGTGGTTGCATCATCGTCATTGCGCTTGCATTGCTGCCTGTGAATCATCACCCAACTGTTTATCTCGTGGTGCTTGAGGAGGCAATGCGCACGCCGCGTAGCACGCTAAATGTACTCGGTCCAAGGCAGGACATCTATCTCTGTTCCCACATTTGCGGTACGTCGTCGCAGTCGCTGTGCTTGTCCCGAATTGCAATTGTGTCGTGTGGCGGCGGGTTGCTGTCCGTGTCGTCGCCGGTGCTGTCGGCGCAGAGGTCATTGCCCAGTGATTCGCGTTCGTGCCGTCCCCAGCCTTGGTCTCGTGGCTGCAGCGGGGGTCCGTAGGGCGCATGGTGCGTCGTCGGGGTCTTCATAAATCATGCGGAACACGCGTCGCTGCGTCCGCCGCAGGTGGTGCGGGAGAGGTTCAGTGAGCGTCCACGTCTCTGCTCCGTAGAATGTTGTCGGGATGATTGTGCCGCCGAAAATGCCAAATCGGTGCACTAGTGGCTAGTGCTTGTTGGTCAGGTCGTAGTGAGACCAAAAAAGAAATTGACGAATCAGCTGCGTGCGACTACGTTTTCCCGGAGCCTCCCGCCGCCGAGATCGACCACGCACTGTGTGCCGATGGAAAGGCCTGGCGGAGGAGCAGAAACCCAGACGCACGCACCAGATTACGGAGTCTCCCTTTCCCTTCCCAATCCACCCCCCTTTCGTCTGAGCCGAGTGGTCACCGTCGCCTGGCTTTCGGGTCTCTTCTCGGACCTCCGGCGGCCGTTCGCGAAGAGACGGGAACGCTCCCAGCGAGGCGCAGCTGCTGGAAAGCATCTCGAGGCTGGAAGCGCCGAGGCCCGACGAGAACCTCCCCAAATCTGAAGCCCAAATCCACCTGTCCCCCCCCCGCTTCGTCCGACCCAGCGGAATGCCACTTAACAGAAGTATCAAGGCGCCGTGAGAACCACGACGGCAACCAGCGACCCTGTCTTCGGGCCCGACTCCTCGGACCAGGAGGCGGAGGACGAAGAATTCGAGGGAGGTGGTGGAGATGAACGAGGGGGTTCCCGTCGTCGTCGTCGTCCTCTCCCCCGAAGGGCAGGTCAGACCACGGGGTCCCCAGGCCCGGAGATGGGTAAGGTATTCGAATGAAGGGGATTCTAAATGCGGCCGCCAACGCGACGCAACCGCCGCACCACCCTGCCGAGAGCACGAAGCCACCGGACAACGTGTCGCGCGGTCGCCTGGCCTCCTTCCTCACTTGAGGCTCAGCCAGTCGGCAGCTTCTCGGGCCAAGAGGCTCTGCCGTAGCAGCAGTACACTCCCTGGACACTTCTGCAGCATCCTCGGGGGCAGAACTCTGGCGCCGAGCCTGGGACCGTGTCCCCCAGGCGCCCCAGCACTCAGCGAGTGCCCCACGGACGGACCAAAATCCAGGCTCCCAAGGCCGGCTTTGGAGGAAAGCAGCCAAGACCGATCTCGGTGGCGCCCCCCCCCGCCTCGGGCAGAGGTCTTTCTAAGTTCTCGAGATGTTCTTTTGACCTGTGCGATTCTTGCCAGGGCAACTCTCGGACAAATGCCGATGGTCGACCCTGCCGAACCTGCCGCAACATGTGCGGAAAAAACATCCTACAGTTCGGCCAGGAACTCATCGCGCGCGTGCAGCGGGCCTCCGCCGTTCGAGTCCGCTTGGGCGCCTCTGGAGGCCACGCAAGGCCCCGAACTGTCTGTGGGGACCTGGTGATGACCTAGCCAAGGTCGGCCCCCCCCCCGCGACCGCCACGCGTGGGGGCGCTTGTGGTGGCAGGCACCGTCCCAGACACGAGGCCAGCCTGGGCGTCGAAGGCGCGCGCTGCCAGTGGAGCTCGAAGGGGCAATCAAGGATAGGGTTACCGAGCGCACGTCCTGAGAGGGTCCCCGTCGTCGTCGAGACACGCGGGGAGCCGCCCGGAGGCTCAGGAAGGGCGAGCAACCGCCAAAGTCCCCGATCCTCCGCCTCCGCCTCCGCCTCCTCCCCCTCCTCCTCCTTCTGAACCTCCTCCTCCTCCTCCTCCTCTTTCTCCTCTTCCTCCTCTTTCTCCTCCTCTTCCTTCTTCTGGGCACTGGGCGCTGCAGGCTCTGGTGCTCGATGAAGTTCGGACCTTCCCCGCCAGCGGCCCTCGCCGCAGTGAGGGGGGCGGAGAGAGAAGCCACGGGGCAGCGAACTCTAGCAGGAGGAGCTTAGAGAGGGGAACGGACTGCTCGGGGAGGGGGGGAGCCAGGACCCCTCCTCCCACCTCCCTCCTCCCTCCTCCCTCTTCCCTGGAGTGCTGGGGGGGAGGAACACACAACTGTACGCCGAGCCAGGGGAAACGAATTGTAGCAAGAGGGGCGCAGAAGGGAAGGGGGCCGCTCCGGGCGGGGGGCAGCAAGCACATCCAGCGTCTCCTGAAGAGGTGGGGAGGAACCCAAAGATAAGCTGCTGAGCATCATGTACAGCGAGCAGCAGTTTATGTAGTGTGCAAAGCAGCAGAGCAGAGACTGGCCTCCCGCTGCCCGCTGGCCCCAACAGGGCCCTTGATTCACCTACTCGTGTGGTGCGAGAGGAAACCCATGGACACTCTCCTAGTCAAGAACGTGATCCCCACAATCTTGAGAGACTTCGGGAGCAAATATTAGTTCATAGGAGCAGAAAGCCTTCCACCTCCTCTTCCTCCTCTTCCTCCTCCTCCTCTTCCTCCTCTTCCTCCTCCTCCTCCACCTCTTCCTCTTCCTCCTCCTCCGCCTCCTCCTCGCGGGATCGATCCACGAGGCTCCCGGAGCCTGGATCGGGGCAAGAACGCCCGCCGCCGCGACCTCCCGTAACGGCCACGAAGGCCCCCAGAGAGCGCCGATGATCCCCAGAGCGAAGGCCCTCGACCTCCCATCGTGAACGTTTTCCTATTCGGCGTTTGGACAGTGGGCGGAAGGGGGGGGGAGAGGGGAGGGTTTATCTCCGGACCTCTGCTCAATGCGACTGTTTGCAACAGTGAGACCTATGGGGGAGACCCCACCTGCTTGAAACAGACGCCCCACACAGCCACGATCTACCCCATGGGGGGGGGGAAGGGGGTGCGAGGGCCCGCGCCGATCTGCAAACCAAAAAGAAAACGATCACCACCCTGGAGTCTCTTCTCTGCTCCTCCTTTCTGGATGCTTCGGTTCCTTCGGAAAGGAAGGTTCCAGGCCGCCCAGCTTTGCGCCTCCCTGCCCCGGGATGGGCGACGCGCGGATCTTCGCGCCCTCGCGCCGCCCCCCTTGGAGGGGGGCCGCCGCTCTGGCCCAGACCACGGCGTGCGAAGCGCCATCACATCCGCACCCTCGCGGATGTGACCTGGAGGGCTCGGGCGTAGGGGCCTGTGGAGGCCGTGCCCTCCGACGCCGAGGCCGGGGGGCAGCGGGGGAGAGGCTCGAGGCTCGAGGCCGGGGCCCCAGAGCCGTGCGGTCGGTGACCTCGCCGCACGGTCCGTCGCCGCTCGGCCTGGTGACCCCGGAGGCCCCCGGCCTCCCGAGGCGTCCTCGGAGGGCGACCCGAGTCCCCGGCAGGACTGTGCGGCGGCCCCGAGCCCCCACCGACTCGCCACCAGACCGGGGGCGGCCACCGTGCGGGGGGCCCCCGAGGTCGAGGGCCGAGGCGGCCCGTCGGCTCTCCGGCCCCTGCCCGGCAGGCCTCTGGCGCCCCGGGGGAGGCCTTCCAGGAGCACGGCGTGCAGCCGGCAAGAGTTTGGGCGCCCGAAGTGGGTACGGAAAGAATGGGTACAATGCCCAACAGCGGATCCTGTTCTGGCTACCTACCAGACCACCCCAACCCGACCCGAAGACCCGAATTTGACCCGAATTTCGGGTTGGGGGGGTACGGATACCATGTGTTTTTTCAACGTTCCCCGACCCCCCCCCCACTGGAAATGGAAGGCAAATTGAGGGCTTCGGGTTGGGTTGGGGTGGTTTGGTGGGTGGTGATGTTCATTCTGAACAGGACTCGCTGTCGGTGTCGCCGCGGCCTGTGTCCATTCGAGACAGAAGGCCGCCTGCCCAACAGCGGCCGCTGTTGGTTCGGGACAACAGTTGCTGTTGGGCATTGTGCCCATTCTGTCCGTACCCACTTCGGGCGTCCAAAGAGAGGGCCGAGAGACAACGGCCCCCGGCTTCGGAGGGCCCCCACCCGTTCTGCGACCGCGGGGCCTCCGCCCTGGATTGCTCTTCGCATGGGGCACTCTCCCATGGCAGGATCAGTGCCCAGTGGACAATCAGCATCGATTCGAGACATAGGATGAGGTCGGAAGGCGTGAGTCGGATCAGATCGGCTGAGCAAGCGATATGAAAAAGCACCACGGAAGCATCGAGCCTCATATTGCCATCGCTCGGACGTCCACTTCCCGTGCATTTTCGATGTTGTGCGTTGTTGTTTGTGCCTCGATGATCCAGGATGCTCCTCGATGGTCCTCGCCGAGAAAAAAATCGCACGCCCGAGCGATGCCGAGTCATCGGCTCTCCTGGGGGCCCGAGATCGAATCGCATCGGGCCGCTCGGACTCGACGTCGTGGCGGGCCAGAACGGGCCGAAGCGGACCCTGCAGGAAGCCTGGGGCGGCCTTCGGCGCAGGGGCCCGTGCCCTCGACTCACTCACGCGTCTGGGGACATGCCTCGACGACACCTCCAGAGGCCTCGACCCGCCCTCGAGCTCCTGCAAGTTCCCTCTCGGGCAAGGATCGACCTAAACAATGTTTTCCGTGTTCGTTTTGGTGCCGTTTTTCCTTGCTTTGTCTTCAATCCGCCTTTGCTGCAAAACGACATCGAAACGAAAACGGTACACGAAATCGCCCAAACACCGTTTAGGTCGACCCCTGCTCTCGAAGCCCGTGGGCCCCTGAGCTCCCGACCCCTTCTCGTGGGCCTGCTGCTTTGCCCCGGATCGTCTTCGGCGGAATGTGTGCTTTCTTTTGCCCCCCAATTCCGATGCCGTGCCTTTTCCATATACGGGGCCCCCAAAATTGTCGACCTCTCTTTCTGCTGCGTCTGCTTTTCATCCCGAGTCGTGCTCGTGCAGCTCTGGAGCCCGATAGAACGACCCCAAGGAGCCCACAATGAACGCCTTGGGACCCCGGCACCTCCCCCGGAAGCCGAGCCCACATCCAGTCGCGGCGGCGAGGACGCTCCAGGAGGCCCAAGACCGCCCAAGAGCGCCCAAGAACCGATCCTCCTCCTCCTCCTCCTCCTCCTCCTCGTTTTCCTCCTCCTCGTCCAAATTCTCCTTCTCCTCCTCCTGTTCGAGGGCCCCCAAGCCTCCTATCCTCGACCACTTGATCGCCGGGAGCAGGACGCCCGGCCCGGGCCTTCTTCTGCTCGACCTCCGACAGCGACTGCAGCGCCCCCACGGTGCGGTCGTCCAGCTGGTTCTTGGAGATGAACTCCTCCAGGTCCCCCCTGCCGGCGCGATGGGGCGATGGGGAGAGGAGGGGAGAGGCGGCGGGCGAGAGGAGAGGAGGGGAGGAGGGGCGAGGAGAGGAGAGGAGGGGAGAGGGAGGGGAGGAGGAGGGGAGGAGGGGGAGAGGAGGGGGAGAGGAGGGGGAGGAGGAGGGGGAGGAGGAGGGGGAGAGGAGGGGGAGGAGGGGAGAGGAGGGGAGGGGAGGGGAGAGGATGCGTGCGGACCGCGAGGGACGAGGAGGGCCTCGTCCCCCCCAAGGCGTCCTGAAATGGCACAATGTCAAAATGTTTGATAAGCTTCGCTCCCTCGGCGGCGACGGCGCGGGCGCGGCGGACGAGGCGGCGACGCTGTGGGCCGCGAAGCGCGCGGCGCGGCGGCGAAAGACCCCTCCGTTGTCGGCGCGCGCTGGCGCGGCGACTGCGGCCCACATGGAGTGGGAGGCCGACGGCGGCGGCGCTGGGACGCGGCGGCGGCTGGGGGGAAAAGGCTCGGGGGGAAAAGGCCGTCACAGGAAATGGGCCGAGACCCGCCGTCTGCTGGGGTCCACGCGTCGGGGTCTGGGGGTGAGGGATGATCCCTCAAGTGATCCCCGGGCCCCCAAACAACTTGTTGGTTGAGGTCCTACATCGATTCCAAGACCCGATGTGAGCTCCTCCGGATCTGGAGTCAGCCGTGGCCCGTGCTTTCGTATGGTTTCCCGAATGCCATCTCTTCTGGCACTTTCTAGAACCCTCTCTATGGTGCTCTCTACAGTGCTCTCTTTAGCAAAGAGGGTCGTTCACTCGACGGTGTTGGGAACATGGAGATGCCAGGCGCTCGAGACCAAAATCACCTAACCTCGTACATCGTGCATCACGCCCCACGATGCTCGACGCGCGTCTATCTTCGCGCCCTCACGCCGCAAGATCCTGCAACATGATCAATCAACATCGAATCTGGAAACCAGGTCGGACCGGAACGAACATCAAACAGGGCTGCACCAGAACGAAATCGGAACCGAACCGGATCGGCCGCACCATGGTGTCCACTAGCTCCGTGCAATCACCGGGCCGCATCGGATCGCCCAGAAATCGGAACCGAATCGGACCGAGCCAGGTGGACATCGAACTGGATCGATCAGATCGACATGGGCCCCGGTGGGCGGCTCCCCGCTGTAGGTTTCGGACAATAGTCTGTCCTCAGGTGGCCACTCGTCTGGACGATTCTGGCATCCCCGGAACACTCTCGGCGAGGCGCAGCTGGTGGGAGCCACCCAGGGCTCCGAAAACCTTCGACAACTTCAGAAAGCCTCCCGAAACGTCTGGGTGCACCAAAGAAGGGAGCCAGGAAGAGGGGACTCACCGCATCACGGCCCGAGGCATGTGCGCGGACGAGTAAGGGCCAGGGGACGCGCTGCAAGAAGACAAAGCAACGAATTAGAAGAAGACGAGCACGAGGTATATTAATACTAATAATCGTAGCAATCCTACTACTACTGTTCATGCTACGCATACCAATAACATCACAACAACACCAGCACAACAACTACGACAACTAACAATACTGCAGATCATGCGAATCAGGGCATAGTATTAAGCAACATCGTACTAGTACTACGAATAATAATGCGAATGCGAGTTGCAATAACAATACTAGTAGTTATACGAATGAGAGGAATAATACGAACAAAGGTAACCATAAAGATGAACAAACGAAGAAGAGGGGACCATGACATCTGGGAGACATCATGGCCCCATCCACCAGCCCCACCCCAGACCTCACCCCCCCTGTACGCACCCGACACTTCTGGGTTACCTGCTACAGCCATCGTGCCACCACCAGGAAGGCTGAAAAAGGACCACAGGGACGTTCCTCTCCACGGTGACCCTCGGCCACGTTTGGACTCCCTGACCTGGACCTGCGGAACGGCCTGAAAGCCAGAGCCACTCCCGAGCCAAAGGTGTTCCTTGTCTCGGCGCCTTGACCGCGCCCGCGCCACAGCCGGCGCCACCAGGGGAGGAGGAGGAGGCGGCCGAGGAGGAGGAGGAGGAGGAGGAGGAGGAGGAGCAGGAGGAGGAGGAGGGGGGGGAGGAGGGGGCGGCGAGGAGGAGGAGCAGGGAGGAGGAGGGAGGAGAGAGAGAGGAGGAAGGGAACGGAGGAGGAGGGGAGGAGGAGGAGAGAGAGGGGAGGAGGAGGAGGAGGAGAGGAAGCGGAAGGAGGCGGAAGAGGAGGAGGAGGGAGGAGGAGGAGGAGGAGGAGGAGGAGGAGGAGGAGGAGGAGGAAGCGGCGGCGGAGGCAGAGGCGGAGGAGGAGGAGCCCTGTGGTCGCCGCTGCCCTTGAAGCCGAGGCTCTGCAGCGGCGGCGCGGCGGCGCCGCGCGCCCCTCCGCGCTCCTGCGGGCGCGGCACCCCGGCGTGCGGCCCTCGCCGCCGACTTTTGGGCGGCAGCCGTCTGCCGACGAGGGCGGGGGCGGCGGCGCCGAGGGCGGCGGCAGCGGCAGCGGAGAGCGAGGACGAGGGCGGGCAACGGGCCGACGGCGAGGCCGAAGGCGGCGAGGCCAGCGAGGAGGCACGCGGATGTGTGGTGGTGTTGCGGGGTGGGCTTCGGATGCCGTCGGCTCCTCAGGCCTGGCGTGTTTCTGGCGGGCCCTGGCCCCCCTGGGAGAGGAGGGCGCTCGAGACGGACGAGCGAATGCTCAGCCCTCTGGGAGAGGAGGGCGCTCGAGACGGACGAGCGAATCCTCGGCCCCCTGGGAGAGGAGGGCGCTCGAGACAGACAAGCAAATCCTCGGCCCCCTGGGAGAGGAGGACGCTCGAGGCAATCAAGCGAATCCTCCGCCCACCTCGCGATCCTCATTCAGCCTCTGCCTCCACTCTCCGCCTCCTCCAGAGGACGATGCGGAAGCTTGAGGAGGGCGGAGGCGGATGGGGGAGGGTGAGGACCGCCCCCTCCACTTCATCACTCCTCGTCCCTCCACTTCATCACTCCTCGTCTTCCAACTTCATCCTTCACACTTTCTCCTCTCCTCTCCTCCTCCTCCTCCTCTTTCTTCTCCTCCTCGACGTCCTCCTCCTCCTCCTCCTCCTCCTCCTCCTCCTCCTCCTCCTCCTCCTCTTCGACATCCTCCACCTTCGCCTCCTCCTCCTACTCCTCCTCTTCCTTCCTGCTCCTCCTCCTCTTCCTCCTCCTCCTCCTTCACCTCCTCCTCCTCCTCCGTCCTCCTCCTCAACCCATTTCTCCTCTTTCTCCTCCTCCTCTTCCTCCGCCTCCTCCACAGCTCACCGCCTCGCTCTTTCTCTTTAGTCCTCCTCCTACTCCTCTTCCTCCTCTTATTCCTCGCTCTCTTCCATCTCCTTCTCCTCCCCTCCGCCTCCTCCGCCTCCTCCTATTCCTCCTCCTCCTCCTCCTCTTCCTCCTCGTCCTCCTCCCTCTTCCCTCCTCCTCACTCCTCATCTTCCTCCTCCTCCACCCTTCTCCCTCCTCCTCCTCCTGCTCCTCTGACTCATGGGACATCGCCGCTGCCGCACACGGCCGTCCAACCCTAAACTGCCGCCGCCCCCCGCCGCCGCCGCCGCCGCTCAGAGAGGGCCGCCACCGCCGCTGACTACCGCCGCCGTCGCACGCCGCCCCTGGCCGCCGCCGCGCCAGGCCACCGCCGAGCTGCCCCTCGGGCCCCGTCCTCGCCGCCGCGGCCTTGCCCGCCGCCGCCGCCGTGCCTGCGCGCGGCCGTCGGCGAAAGCGGCGCAGCGCAAAGGGCGGCGCCGCCGCCGACGGCGCCACGGCGAAGGCGCCGGCACGCCGCGGCAGCGCGGCGGCAGAGGACGACAGGCATCCCAGAGCCACGGAACTCGATGCTACATCGTCGAGCTCGAACCTCAATCCTCTGGGGACCCGAACCTGGTCAGGGTCTGTCTGTCCACGGCCTCTCCCAGAACGCGTCGGTGGCACCAGAGCGCGTCCGAGCCAGTGGGGGGGCTCGCGCAAACTCTTCAGGCACCGAGGGCGTGCCTCTGGTCTCGGGTCGAGCTTCTCCTCCACCTTCCCGCCTCCTCGTCGCCGCCGCCTCCGCCTCCGCCTCCTCCTCCTCCTCCTCCTCTTCCTCCTAGCCTCCCCTTCATCCTCGTCATTGTCATCGTCATCACAGACGCAATCATCATCGCCATCGTCATACTCGGTATCAGTATCAGTATCATCATCGGCATCGCCTCACCACTGCCGTCAATGTGGCCATCACCATCATCATCACCCTCACCATGACCATGACCGTCATCATTACCATCACCATAATCGCCATCAACATCATAACCGCAGTATCAGCATCCGTATCAAGACCATTAGTAATAATCCTCATCAGCATCAGCATCAGCATCAGCATCAGCATCAGCATCAGCATCATCATCATCATCACCACCACCATAACCAACACACTCATCATCAACAAGATCGTCGTCATCAACGTCGTCGTTGCCGTCGTCATCGTCGCCGTCGTCATCAACGTCCTCGTCGTCGTCACCCCCATCATCACCATCATCATCATCACCACCATCCTCTCCTTCCCCTCATCCTCCTCCTCCTCATCATCAGCATCGTCATCAACATCATCACCATCAGCATCAACATCATCATCAACATCATCATCATCATCATCATCATCATCATCTAATCACCGTTATCAATCTCATTATCGGCAGCACCATCATCACCGTCACCATCACCACCGCCAGCAGCATGCCCATCATCATCAACATCATCATCATCATCGAACTCATCATCACCATCATCATCACCATCACCATCAGCATCATCACACTCACAATAACCATCACCATCATCATCATCATCATCAGCATCATCATCATCATAATCACCATCATCGTAATCATCAAAGGCATAGCCAGACTCATCATCATCATCATCATCATCATCATCATCATCATCATCATCATCACAGCCAGTCATCATCATGCCCCCAAGGTCTGGATAGACATGATAATGAGGCACAGTGTTGTTGGCCTCCAGGCCACGTCCCGTTGAGAGGCCCACCAGATGGAGCCTCTGGAAGGTTGCGTTTCTTGCCAGTGCGGGGCCCCCGACCCTTAGCCGATTTTTGGACGGTCCATGGGGCCAGGCGAGGGCCCCGAGAAGCCGAGAACGATACAAGACGATAGCACTGTCTTTCCAGACGCTGGAGGTCTGGTGCCGAGCGTCGCCCGACATCATCGAGCCCGCCGGGAGCGACCGAGTCCCGCCATTACTGGGGCGGGCAGCCCCTCCTCTTCGGCCATATCCTGGTGCGCGCAGGGTCAAACCCCGCCCCCCGCTCGGCACCCCTGGTCCACTGGTGGCCGGCCCAGTCCCAGCACAGGGCCACGCCTTTCTGGCTCCGAGGGGCCCAAGTTCCGGACATCCTCGTCGGCCACCTCGGAAACCGTCGCGCCCCGAAGAAGTGACCCCGGGCAGGAAGTGGCGGCGCGCGGCTGGCCGAACGCTGCGTGCGATGCGACCAGTGGCGGCCCGCCTGCTTGGCCCCCCCCCCTCTTCCCACACAAACACTCTCTCTCACACACATTCACACACACACACGCTCACACAAACACATA